CTTAACCAACTGAGCCACCCAGGCGCCCCTTGAGTAGCCCAATTCTAAAGACCTTTCCATAATCTAGTTTCATTGTTGTTATACAGAAAAACAATTATCTGTGGTGTCAAATAAATTTGGAAAATGTGTGCAACTTCTCGCTCTTTGATATGCTGATATACATTGTGAACCTCTAAAAGTTGGAACCTAGGAAATTCTCTTCATAGATTATCTTGAGTCACTGGTGTTTTTCCAAACATACTGTAAGAATTTTAGTCTAAATTATTCGTCCTAAGCATAATAATAAATATGTGCTGATTCCAGTATATGATCACTTAACTCTGTCCACAGAGGGCCACAGAAGACTAGGATATTTGGTCAAAAGTAAAATGAGGGGGCGCCTGGGTGGCTCAGTCGGTTGGGCATCTGCCTTCAGCTCAGGTCATGATCCCAGAGTCCTGGGATCGAGTCCCACATGGGGCTCTCTGCTCGGCAGGGAGTCTGCCTCTCCCTCTCATTCTCCCTCTCTCTCAAATAAATAAATAAAATCTTAAAAAAAAAAAAAAGAAAAAGAAATGGGAACCCATTCTCCTCTGACTCCAGCTTTCTAAGCAGGTCTTCTGTGCGAACCACCCAGGAAAGCACCACTGACAGCTTCCAAATCTCTATAGACATAACAAAAAATTGAAAGGAAGCAAAAGTAAAGGAATAAGTAAGTAAATATAGTACATCAATAAGATGACCTAATATGCGCCCATTAAAGCATCAATATGAAGTTTTTAATGGTATAGAAAAATAATTACATTAAATGAAGAGATCATATTAACATTTAAGTGAAAATGCATATAGATTTCAACTATGTTAAAAGAAAAAAGACCAGAAAGGAAATTCATAATGCTTTCTGATGGACTGATGGAGGATTTTCCCCTTTTTCTTTATCACAACATACCGTCTATGTAACATCTACAGTGAGCTTATGTTATAATCATTCAGTACCAGAAAATAAAAAAATAAAAAATGATGGCCCTCAGTAGGGATAATCCCAGCCCTATTACAAATTTTGACTGTCATGATTAGAAAAGAAATTGAGAGTATAAAAGGTATGAAACTGGGAGACCTGAAAGGTTTTTGAGCAAGTGGTGTAAGGGAGCAACATTGTAGAAAAAAATAGTTTTGCCATGATGTATAGAATTTATTTTCAGAAATACATTTTTCTCATTTATTCAACAAACATCCTTGAAGGCCTTCTATATGCCAAACACTATTCTAGGCACCGACGGTAGGTATATGAGTAGGAAATAGCCCCTTCCCTCAAGGAACTCCTTCTACAGAGAGATGTTGAGGGTTTTTGATTGTTGTGTCACATATAACCTGTCCCCCTTCACTTGCTATCATGTAGACAACGCTAATATCATTGGCTTATTTCCCATTATTTGTATGTACAGCACTGTGGATTTTAGAACATAATTCTTCTTTAATAGTATAGTGCCCCTTAGAACAGATTCCTTTTTCTCATCTGCAACTTCTTTCTAAAATACAGTTCATCCTTTTATCATTTTTATAGATAATTCTGTTTTAATTTGGAAAGGACATAGTAAGCTCTGTTCATTATTATTTATAGTATTAATTGCGGAATGAAAATGTACTGGCTTCATTCTTTGAAGCATTGGGTTGCTTTCTTTGTGCTCTTTAATGACCTCATGTAGGTTATTAACCCTGCAGATACTTGGGTAGAGTACAAAGAGAGGCATAAAGAATGTCTTGTCTGGTTTAGTCTCCTTGAATATACTTTCCTCCGATCATGACTTCTACATGGACCTGATTTATTGTGGAGCATCACAGTATATTTGGGGTTTGCAGGTATTCATCACCAATGGGTGGCTGAGTGATGTTGTTATTGTTGTGGCGGTCACAAATCGTGAAGCTCACTCACCGGCCCATGGCATTAGCCTTTTTCTGGTGGAAAGTGGAATGAAAGGATTTATCAAGGGACAAAAGCTACAAAAAATGGGACTAAAAGCCCAGGTAAGTCACAGTATAAATTATTAATTATAAATAATTGAGTTTACTCAATTATGCCTTATAGAACTATGTAGTTCTATAAGTTTGATATATGTATATCAAATCATACCTTCTTATGCCAAATTCCTAAGATACGCTTTTCAGAAATGGTAAGAGAGATTTATTCCGTTTATCTAATTGTATCTCTTTCTGTTATTCAGCATCAGAAGTGAATCAGGTATTTTGAGTATCTGCTTCAGAAATGGCAAAATTAATTATATGTTAATAGGCCTTCTATTAAATTGATTGAAGAAAATTATGAAATAAGAGCAGAAAATATTTGTCTGTTATTTGATAATTATCTGGTAGTTTTTCATTACCAAAAAAGGAAAACATGTTTTACTTAATATGCATTAGAAACGCTTAGCTCTTGGTATGTACAGAACTGGACAAGACTGGACAAGACTGGAACTAGAATGGCAGTGTGTGGGTAGTGAGAAAGCCACGCGTTTTTGGAATCAGGTGGATCTGAGTTTGAATCCCTGCTTTACCACCTCCTCGTTGTAGTCATTAACCACTCCAACTTGGCTTCCAGTTTATTTTGTTCTTGCTTTTGTTTTCTTAAATGGAAATAATCATTACCTCATTGGCTTGTTGGGAGACTTAAATGAAATAATTGTGTACTTAATTGTGTGATCCCTTAGGATACTGCGGAATTATTCTTTGAAGATGTCCGGTTGCCAGCTAGTACTCTACTTGGAGAAGAAAATAAAGGCTTCTATTACCTCATGCAAGAACTTCCACAGGTCAGAGTTATTACAGAGTCTATCTTTTGATTAGCGAATGAAGTTGAATGAAATAACATAGAACTGTGTAAGTTCACGTATATAAAACTGGTGATATAGTCAATCATTAACTCAGGGATATCCAATCAAAGCTTATAAGTGAGTGGGGAAATTAGGTATTTCACAGCTGTAATATCCTCTTAGAATGATTGTAGCTTCTTAACTACAAGTCAAGAATTCTTAGCTCCTTATAAGGAACTGTCAGCCGAAACAGTTGGCAGGATTTTTTTGTAATACCTGAGAATCAAAGGGGAAGGTGGTTGAGTTCATACCCGATAAGGTCAGCCCTCCATCTGTGTTTTTGGAGTGTGCTAGCTGAAAGATCATTGAGCTTCACATGCCAGCATATGAGCATAGGTGCATCTGCCTCAGCCTGGGCTAAACGTAAAATTGGGGACAAGGCTAGAAACACTGCCACAGAAATAGAATACAGAAATCACCAGCAAGATGATTTAAACTGACTGTGGATTGCACTAATGGACAGACTTTAACCTGTACCCTTTAAGATGTTGATTTTCACAGACCTATTAGGACATGTAATGAGCAGAGATCAATAAATAAAAATCAACAATTTCATATTTCTCTTCTGATAGATGAATGATGAGAAGAAGGAATGAAATAAACTATGTCTGTATCTATATGTAGTAAAGACAGTCATTTATAAAAATAAAGGATTTGTTGTAGAGAATTATGGATATGTCAAAATATTTTTGTAAATCTCTGTGGGAACATTTTCTTATAGAATTAAGAAATAAATTAGTTTTTATGAGTTTTATTAAGATTATTTATAAGATTTGTCATCATTGAGATCATGTGAAAATCACTTGTGGAATTAGAATGATTCTTAGACCTAATTTTGGGTTATAGGAAAGGCTACTGATTGCTGAGTTGGCAGTTTCAGCCAGTGAATTCATGTTTGAAGAAACCAGGAATTACGTTAAAGAAAGAAAAGTTTTTGGGAAAACAGTTGCACATATGCAGGTAAGCTTGTCGTCATAGTTTAGTATTAAGTGACATCAATCTAAATATGAATATGGAGTAATTTTCATAGAGGTAGTATTAGAATCCATGGAGGTAGATGAGACCATTGAGGGAAAAAGAGTAGAATAAGACAAGAAGAGTTTCTAGGACAGAGTCCTGAGAAAAATGCAGGATTTACAGGTGGAGTAGGAGGGGAAAAACCTGCAAAGACAACAGAGAATGAATGGCTAGAAAGAAAAAAGCAAATCAAGCAAGTAGTGTCCCAGAAGCCAAGACGAAAGAAGACTTCAAGTAGGCAGGAGTGGGGCCGAAGGCACTTAGAGGGAAACTAAGATGAAGGTCAAGAATGCCCATTGGAAGATGAATGGATAAAGAAGATGTGATGTAGATAGATAGATAGATAGATAGATAGAAAGATAGATAGAAAGATAGATATAATGGAATATTACGCAGCCATCAAAAAGATGAAATCTTGCCATTTGCAATGACATGGATGGAACTAGAGGGTATTATGCTAAGCAAAGTAAGTCAATCAGAGAAAGACAATTATCATACGATCTCACTGATATGTGGAATTTAAGAAACAAGGCAAAGTATCATAGGGGAAGAGAGGAAAAAAATGAAACCAGAGAGGGAGACAAACCATAAGAGATTCTTAATCTTAAGAAACAAAGTGAGGGCTGCTGGAAGGGAGGGGGATGGAGGGATGGGGTAACTGGGTGACGAACATTGGAGAGGGTATGTGTTGTAATAAGCACTGGGTATTATATAAGACTGATGAATCACAGACCTGTACCCTTGAAACAAATAATACATTATATGTTAATTAATTGAATTAAAATTAATTAATTAATTTAAAAAGAGTGCCCATTGGACACAGTGATAGGAAAGTTATTTCTTAAGAGCCATTAATGGACTAGAGTGGGGTGGTGCCAGACCAGAGTGGGTAGAGGAGTAAATGGAAATGAAGAAGTAAAGATACTGATAGCAGGCAACTCTTCCTGAATTCGGCTGTGAATGGTAGCTAAGAGAAAGATAGTTACTAGGGGGTAAGAAGAGGATGGGGGGCAGAACTTTGGGGTCAAGTGACATATTTAGAGATTATTAAGTTTTTGTTATTAGGATGAGAATGCTGGAAGCACATTTTAATACCTAGAGAAAGGATTTAGTTAAGAGGGAAATATTGTAGGGCACCTGGGTGGCTCAGTTGGTTAAGCGACTGCCTTCGGCTCAGGTCATGATCCTGGAGTCCCGGGATCAAGTCCCACATCGGGCTCCCTGCTCAGAGGGGGGTCTGCTTATCCATCTGACCCTCTTCCCTCTCATGCTCTCTGTCTCCCATTTTCTCTCTCTCTCAAATAAATAAATAAAATCTTTAAAAAAAAAAAAAAAAGAAAGAGGGAAATATTGTAGATATGAAGAAGATAATCAACTGCATATGATATTTGAGAAAGTCTTAGGTTGTGGGTGCCAAAGCACATGGAAAGATAGGCTTTCCCACCCCCACAGCAGAGACGTTTCCTCCATTTTAACAGGAAGAAAAGAGGAGAGGACAGGTATGGGTTCATTCAGATACTTAGCTCTGTTGGTAGAAAATTGCAAAAGCTCTTTTATGAAGGCTTCCATTTCCCTTAAGTAATATGGGGAAACTCAGTTCTTGAAAAACAGGTGAGTGAAGGGGACATGGAGGTGTCCAAGGAGAGGAAGATTTGAAATACGCCTTCAAACTGAGAGACTGAACTAACTCGAAAAATGTAGTAAACGCTGCTAGCAGTATTGAGGACTCAGATGAGGTTAATGATCATGGGTTTATAGTGGTACCTTCTGCTTTTTTATGTATTAGATTTACTAGAAGGGTTTAGCCATCCAGGGTCAAGCACAGAGTAGGTGGATGATTGTTTAAGGTTGGGTTTTGCAAGGAAGTTGAAGGTATTTGCCAAAGAACTCAACATATGGTGGCCATAATCACTAACCATGCCAATCAAATATTAGACTCTAGTTTCTTCTTTTTTTTTTTTTTTTTTTAAAGATTTATTTATTTATTTGCGAGAGAGAATGAGAGAGAGAGAGAGAGCATATGAGAGAGGGGAGGGTCAGAGGGAGAAGCAGACTCCCTGCCGAGCAGGGAGCCCGATGCGGGACTCGATCCAGGGACTCCAGGATCATGACCTGAGCCGAAGGCAGTCGCTTAACCAACTGAGCCACCCAGGCGCCCGACTCTAGTTTCTTCTTAAATGAATGGCTTAAAAACAAGGCAGTCATAAAATTGGTTAAACATTTTACCGGCAAAAAACCTGGAGTTGGAAATCTACTTGAACAGTTTGAAGTGGAATGACCTATTAGATGATGGGCTTTATAAAGGGCAAGGCAGAAATGAAACACTTTGGTAGCCTTTTAGGACCAGCATTACAGAAATTAACTTCAGGCATGGTTAAGTCCTAGCTCAGCTACTTGGATCTCCGTGGTCTAGTCAGGTTATATGATGACTCTCCAAAGCACTTTCTTATTTGCAAGATGTAAATAATATCTGTAGCTACCTTATAGAATTGCTGTGAGGACTAGATGGTACACCCAGAGTGCTCAGAATATTGCCTGGCGAACTAACCACTCCCTAAAGTTTGCTATTTTTCCCTTACATAATATATTCCTCCATTTTGTTCCAATCAATGAAGGGAACCTTTTTATCAACTTCTGGCTCCTGTTCTGGACCTACCCCAGGCCATTTTGAGAATTATTTGCTACCTGAGTGTTCATCAGGTTAACTTTTTCCTGGGTGCCTGGGTGGCTCAGTCGGTTAAGTGTTTGCCTTCGGCTCAGGTCATGATCTCAGGGTCCTGGGATCAAGCCCCGCATCAGGCTCTCTGCTCAGCAGCGAGTCTGCTTCTCCCTCTGCCTCTGTGATCACTTTCGCGCTCTCTCAAATAAATAAAATCTTTAAAAAAAAAAAAAAGTTAACTTTTTCCATTCTGAAAAAAACTTCGTATCCTGCCTTTTTGACACAAAATAGATCTAAAAATAGTTGTTCTGAAACTGAATCTAAAATGAGGCACACACTTTAGAAAACATTTTTAAAAATGGTGTGGTTTGGGATGCATGAGTGGCTCAGTCATTTAAGCGTCTGCCTTCGGCTCAGCTGGAATCGAGTCCCCAGGTCGGGCTCCTTGTTCAGCCGGGAGCCTGCTTCTCCTTCTCCCTCTCCCTCTGCTTGTGCTCTTTCTCTCTTTCTAACAAATAAATAAATAAAATCTTTTTAAAAATTTTTAAAAAATGGTATGGTTTGACTTGCCTAAATTGTGATTTCCTTTAAAGTAAAGATTTTATATTTTATATTGCTTTTCATTTATGTATCATTAATTTACACATCGCAGTGATTCTCAGTGATTGCCCTTTTCCCCCCAGGCATTTAGAACTGTCAGGAAGTGGGGTTCACAGCAATGGGAGGGATGTTTCATATTTGGTGCTCTAGAGGCCGATATTGTTAAATGTCCTGTAATTCAGAGATAGCTTTGTAAAGCAACTAATTGTCTCACTCAAAATGCCAATATTCTCCCTTTGAGAAACAGTGATATACATAATTTATTCCTTTTTGCTTCATTGAGCAAATATGTATTGATTGCCCTCTAAAGGTTGTATGTTGAAATGTAATTTGATAGGTGTGATTCTTAAAATACACACCACAGGCTCCTCCCAACATGAAGTATTACTCTGTGACTTTCTGAACTTTACCCAAAGTACTTTATAGGCATACCTAGAAAATACTGGCCAGTTCTGTTCCGGAATATTGCAATAAAGCAAGTCTAATGAATTTTTTGGTTTCCCAGTGCATATAAAAGTTATCTTTACACTATACTGTAGTCTATTAAGTGTGCAATAGCATTATGTCTAAAAGGTGTACATACATATGGGGCACCTGGGTGGTGCAGTTGGTTAAGCATATGACTCTTGGTTTTGGCTCAGGTCTGATCGCAGGGTCATGAGATTGAGCCCCGAGTGGGGCTCTGCACTCAGTGTAGAGTCTGCTTAAGACTCTTTCTCTCTCTCCCTCCACCCCTTCCCCCTGTGTGTGTGCTCTCCCCCTCTCTCTCTCAAATAAATAAATAAATCTTTACAAAAAAATAAAAGGTGTGCATACCTTTATTAAATAATACTTTATTGCTAAAAATGCTAGCCATCATCTAGCCTTCAGTGAGTGGTAATCTTTTTGCTGATGGAGAGTCTTGCCTCAATGTTGATGGCTGCTGACTGATCAGGCTGGTGGCTGCTGAAGATTGGGTGGTTTTGCCTTTTTTTTTTTTTAAGACAGCAATGAACTTTGCCACATTAGTTGACTCTTCCTTTAACAAACAATTTCTCTGTAGCATACAATGCTGTTTGATAGCATTTTATCCATAGAACTTCTTTCAAAATTGGAATCAGTCCTCTCAAACCCTGCTGCTGCTTTATCAACTAGGTTTGTGTAATATTCTGAATCTTTTGTTGTCATTCCCACAATCCTCACAGCATCTTTACCAGAATCTACTGAACAACCACTTTTTTGTTCATCCATAAGACGCAACTCCTCATCTGTTAAAGTTTATTATAAGATTGCAGCAATTGAGTCCTGTCTCCTTGCTCCACTTTCTGATTCTAGTTCTCTTGCTGTTCCCACCACGTCCACGGTCACTTCGTCCACTGAAGTCTTGAATCCCTCAAAGTCATCCAGGAGGGTTGGAATCAACTTCTAAAACTCCTGTTAATGTTGATATTTCCACATCTTCCTATGATTCATGAATGTTCTTAATGGCATTTGGAATGGTGGATTCTTTGGAGAGGATTTTCACTTACTTTGCCCAGATCCATCAGAGGAATCTATGGCAGCTACAGCCTTACGAAATGTATTCCTTAAATAATACAACTGGAAAGTCAAAATTTCTCCTTAATCCATGGGCTGCAGAATGGATGTTGCGTTAGTAGGCATGAAAACAACATTAATCTCACTGCCATCAGTCAGAACTCGGGTG